AGTGAGTTCAGCAGCCTGATCTTGCAATAGGTTCCATGAGGGCTAAATCCTCACACCTCAGCACAATTTCATTTATTTAGATGGGACTCTAGTAAGCATAAATCATCCACTGGAGTATCAAACGGTTTCATTGGTAACTCAGCAAATTCAATGCACTATGTTGCTCAGCAGTCCATAGTTTAATTTTCTTTTTCTATTTGTAAAATATTATGATTTGTAGTCTTCTGTATGGAACATCAATGTTTTAAAAGTTTCTCTAGGGTCAGTGACTTCAGCCTGTCAGGCTCTGGGTTCGCAGCGGTCAAAACTGGTGATTAGAGCCATAGTCCAGAACAGGTACAAGGGTCGAATCAAGACTGAGCTGAGGGCAGGGCTGAAACTAAGGGCTAGGGACAGGCTGTGGGTCAGAATGAGGTCAGAGTCCGTAAACAAGCCAAATAGGATCCTAATCGGAGTCCAGATGCAGGCCAAAGGTCGAAGCCAGCTGGAAGTCAGAGTCTGGGGGTCAGGAAGCAGGTGCAGGGCTGGAGCATGTTAGTAATAGGGCTGGAGTATAGTTGGAGTAGGGCATGGACAAGGCTGGAGTGGCCATGAACAAGTCTAGGTCAAGGTTGGGGCAGGAACAGCAACTGGATCAAGGAAAGGCTGGAAGCCTAGGAAGTCTAACATTGTGCAGAAGCATAAAGGTTCCTGGCTGAGTACTGCTGTTGCACAGACTAATTTGAAGCTCTGGCCGGGTCAGTGAAATACCTGTGCCTGGGGGTCATATGACCTGGGCCCTGACTGGGTATAGGCTGCTGCAGCAAACCTGAGTGCTGGCTCACTGCAGGGTCAGCTTAAGGGATAAGTCACTGTAGCTGAGTTGCTGCAGCATCCCTGAGCCATGAGTTACTGCAGGCTCTGTTGGAAGGGGGAGTCATGGCAGCTATGTGAGCAGCCCTGGTCTGGCTGCAGGTTTGCATCATACATAACTTTGCCAGACTTTAAAAATTGAGGCTGAAGTTTTCCATGCCGTCTTTGTGCCTCACTGCTTTTGTTCCCCAAAAAAGTTTCAGCCAAAATGGTTCAGTTGTTTCCAAAAATGAATTAGGGAAAAATACATTTTGTCCATGTTAAAAAATTCTCAAGACTGTTTCTTTAAGAAGCACGTGCAACTGCATGCTTTGGGGCAGAGACTTGAAATGTGACAGGGAGATGATCTTTTGCTGTTCCCATGGAAATCTGCCCACATTTGGCCAAGTTAGAAGCCTTAGAAAAAACTCAGTTTGCACATGCTGAGTGCAGAATTCAACAGCTGATATCTCTGAAGAGTCATCCCCAATTAGAATGCTCTGTCCTCTCATACCACCTACATGTGTCTAGAACGCATATGCACTGTTCTCACAGAGTGAATGAGCATGTTCAACTCTGAGAATGCAAGGGCAAAGATGGACTTTCCTAGTATCACTGCTCCTAGCTGCAAATACTGTTTGCAATGTGCTTTGTGGACCTCCACGAGGAAAGGCACCAAATAAATTAGAAATGGTTAATTCACCCTTTTAAAATCCACCATCAAATCCCTATGCAGTCAACCACAGTCTTACTGTCTGAGGAGGAATAGATTTTCTTTAGCCTGTAAACACCAGAGAGAGGCACAAACCACAAACTCCAGACCTTGGTGTGATTCTTAGCTTTTGTGAAGTGGTCTGAACTGGAGTCTTGACTGAGGTCTATAATAAAAGTCAATTTTACTCCCCAAGGTCCGATCCTGCAAGGTGTTCATCACCTTCTGCTTTGCGTAAGGTCAAGAGATGGGTGGGAATCACCATTATGAGGAAGGGAAATGTGTCAGGTTGTGGAAAGGAAAGGGTGAAGAGAGGAGGGTGAGGAGGGACAACATCAGAAAGGGAAATGGAGACCTGGAAGACAAGAAAATTAAGACCCTGTTTCCCCCCCCCCCCCCTTCGCCCCCGCCCCAGTATCCCTGAATGGAGCACTGAACACTTGAAGGAAGGCAAGAGAAAGAGAAAAAACTTGGTTCAAAAAGACAGCAAGAGCCAGAGAGTATCAAGAGATCTGACTTCTGAAGACCTGTTCAGTTACAGTAAAAGATATTTATTTAAAAAATACACATACATAAAAGAAGCAGAGTGGGGTCAAAATAGCCATTGTGCCAAATCTCAGGATTAGGACAAGTCAGCTTGAACAGGGATAGAGATAGTAAATTTGGCCACACAGCAAAACAGATTCAGCATAATGCCCTGCTATTATAGATTTTTTGTTACCTCGGTAAAAAAGCTGGGGGGAGCCCACCCTACAATACTCTGCTCTACCATTTGCTCTACAGTAGTAACAGTCCAATGATCCAAACAAGGTCAGTGATCCAAAAGCGCACGACTGTAACATACACCATTGGAGCATTTTGGACCACAAACCAGATTCTTAGCTAGTCCAAATTGGCCTAGTTTCATTAGAGTCAGTGGAGTTAAACCAATTACATCAGTAGAGAAACTGGTTCCATTATGTTAAACAATGAAGCAGTCTTTTTTAATGGGCAGAGGGGAGAGATATGTCCACACGTTTAAGTGTAAGTTCGGTAAGCCACAAGTAAGATAGGGGCCAGATCTGGCCAACATACATTTCTTATTAGTCTCCTTTCCCTTCTAAAGTAATTTCTTATGGGCTGCTTGGTTCTCTTCTGACTGAAAAGACAGATTATTTTATACAAGGAGATTTTACAAAGAAAGTAAAATTTAGAAGCTTTCCTCCCAACTAATCATCAAGAAGAATCAATGTACTGTTTGTTTATAAAGATAGCTTCCTCTTTAACATATAAAAGTACTACAGGAAAAACTGAGTGCCAAGAAAAAATAATATTTGCTGCCTGATTACCCACTGCCTCGCCTCATGTGTAGTTATTTAGAACCTGCTCCAAAAGCCCATTAAAATCAATGGGATTCTTTCAGTTGGCTTCAATGGGCCTGATCCAAAGCCCATTGACATGTGAAGAATGAGAGCCATTTCTCATCCACTTCATACAGGTGTGGGTGAGTACACAAGATGTAAGGCAGAGGACAGTCAAAACCAAGATCTTTAAGTCTTTCAACCATACAAATTTGTCGCGTACCTCTGTGCTGTCTGCAGAGCTGTTTGCAGAGATGCTGGGCCAGACAGGTCCTGTGGTCAATTCTCTAGGAGGGTTTGTTAAGTATGTTTCCCCAGTGCTCACAAGGAAAGATTTACTGTCATTTCTCCTTTTATCTTGCATTCCTTGTCCGCTTGCATTGTTGTCTGAGAAAACGGGATATTGATAGTCTATATGTTCAAAGCCTATACAGACATTCAGATTTGTATTCTCTTTCTCCACATCTGACCCAAATTCATCCGCAGTTGGACTCAAGTTATTTCTTCCATATGGACCATAGTCATAAAGTGTTCCAATGGGGTATGTGGGGTAGGAATTCTCAGAGAGGTCACTATATCCGGATAGCAAAGAAGGTCTGAAGCCAATTGTTGGTGGCAACCTGACTTGCTGCCAGTGAGAGGTGGGGCTTCCAAAGTAAAGATCCCTATGAGGAATTTGAGGTGGATCTATTCTGTATAAATGTTCTTCTGCTGCATCCAAGAAAAACTCATTTTCTTTGGGGTCGTGTGAATATGCTGGACCATAAAAGGGTATTTCACTGCTGCCTTCACCAACTATTTGGTCAAGTCCTAGACTGACCTGGCTATCAGGATTAAAATGATACATAGAGTAAGACGCTTGGTCCTCAGATTGTCCTTCTTGTAACTCATCTTGCGTCAAAGGCATTTTCCAAAAGTACGCCATGCTTCTTCAGGCCATCAATCTTAACACCACTCGGGAGATTTGCCACAGTTTCAAAGTCACAATGAGTAACACTGCAGAATTTGAGCTTTATATTCACTGGAACAAAACAAAATAAAACTAGCTAAAATGAATTTAATGCACTGTAAGCTGTACATGTAAATGGCATTCATTTTAGAGTTCTTTCCATAGGGTATAAGATCCTCTCTCTTATCTGGTACCTGGAGTGAAACCCACCATATGAAACAGATGGAGAATGGTCCTTGGTTTCTGGACTGTTGAATAATATGTGTGGTCATTAAAACCAAAGATGACCATTTCTGCAGTCTCCAAATAAATTATTTTAAATTCCTTATTATTTTTACAGTTGAATAGTACATTTTATCCAAGGATCTCAAAGCTATCTCACAATAACCCTGTGATGTTGGTCAATATGGGGGGAGATTTTTTCAAAGGTACAAAAGAGAGTTAGCTGTCTAATTCTCTTTTGTGCCTTTGAAAACCTCCCCTTATAATATCCATTTGATAGAGGTGTATTTTGAGGCACAAAGAGGTTAATTGACTTGGCCAAGGTCATACTGCAAGTCAATGGACACAGTACCATACTCTTCTGTAGTCACTAGGCACAATTTGGAGTTTCTCATATAAATCAAGGCAAATAGTGAGCCAATTTAGCCTTTTCCTCCCACATATGACATTTCATTAGAGTGAGATTGGAAACAAGACCAGTAAACATATTGACTTATAAGCATGTACATGTGTTCATAAAAAGATGTGTGGTTAAATTGGCTATGCAAATATTGAGTCCTGGGATTGGAGGGGGCACAACAGCAAAAGCAGTGTGCGTTCATAACTTCAGAGTGCGGCCACCACAAGCCATACACAATTGTGTTCCCTACTTTTTCAAATAGAAGAAATAAAACCCATTTGATTTAATAATTTAATGACTATTTATACCCTTCCTTTCAGAATAGAAATACTATTGGAATGAAAATCTCTCTTGTAAATTGCTGAGGCTGAAAACCACAAATAGTTTTTTCAATATGCTGCTAAAATCTGTAATGCATTAGCTTAGATGATAATGCTATGCACTGAAAATCTATATTATAGTAGAAGTATTCAACATAACTTTTTTATTATTATTTTGATGAAACTCTATCTTGACTCAGACTACTCACCCATAATCAGAAGGAAAAGGAGAATGAAAATTGGATGTTGTGATATGGAAATTTCCAAGACCTGCTGTCGCAGCTCCAGGGTTAGCTGTAGCTTTGACCCTCGGTCTTTCCTTGGGCGCCCCTCTCAAGGGACAGGCCCAGCATACGCACTTCTCTCAGACTGGAATCCTGCAAGTCACCCCATTTTTAGAGTGGGTCTCTTGGCTACAGCACCCATTTACCAATCATGTTTCCACAGCAGGTCCAACTGGACTTGGCCTCTGCTACAGATTTCTCTTCAGGAGCTGTGCATAGTGGGTAAATGCAAGAACACCAAACAGCGTCTTAAAAAAAAAAGTGTCTATCTATCTGATTATAGCAATCAGAAAGAAAGGGATTAACATAACAAAAAGACCTACATGCACATTGTCTTACTTAAGGCTTGATGTACATTACAGAGTTAGGATGACATAAGACAGCTTATGTTGACCTAACTATGTCAATGTGTATAGCCTTGCTCCTGTCGGTGTAAGTGCCTTACTACACCAGCATAATAACTCCATCTCCATGAGAAGCGTAGGGCTTCTATCGGTGTAATTAGGGTGACGCAGTGTCTGTGCAGACACTGAGTTTCTTACATCGGCTGTTGGCTGGGCTCCCCACTCCCCGCTGGGAGCCCTGCTGCTCTCCAGACTCCTGGCTCCCCGCCTCCTGCCAGGAGCACTGCAGCTGACCAGATTCTAGGTGTGGATCTCATCACTGGAGGTGAGAAGCCCCAGGAGGCAGCTGGGCTCCCCTCTTCGGTCCGTGGGGTGCTCCTGGTGAGGACGCGCACCACCGACAGAAGGAGGGTAGTGTGGACATCCAACATAGGTCGACTTAAGATTGTAGTGTAGACATGCCCTATGTCTTGAGAGGAATGATAGGCTTAGTAGGTCCGGTAGTATCTCCTCAGTCTTCTGTGGGAACATGTTACCTGTTTCCCTGCAGACCTTGTCTCTGCATCAGGTTTGAGGATTTTGACAGTTTCCAAGTTTTGTTTAAAAATTTCTCACCTGAAGGGCCCTGGCTCAGTCCTAAGCTGGGGGGTGTTTGTGCCCCTCGCTAACTCCCGCTCCCCCCAGACAGAAAGAAAACAAGAAAAGGCCTTGACACCTGTATTTTCAGTTAAGAACCTGTGACTGGGGCTGTCTAAAGACATTGACTTTAGGTTCCTGCAGATGTGCAACCTACACGCAGGATTGAGTTACCTCTTTGCACCCATGTAGCAGACATTATGCTAGTAATCAAATAGTAAACAAATCAAATAGACAAAGGTTCACGTAATATCAATTAATTATACATTTTATACCTCTTATTCACCAGAATTTAATTTGTAGCCTGATTAGGATTTGACAATTGAATTACCTATACACATTTTATCAAATGTGTTACTAAGCAATAGAGCAGTTACTGTAGGAAAGTGATCTCTGTGACAGAACTGGTTGAAGTTTTTGATTAAAAAAACCCCTTTGAAGTTGTGGAGGAGGGGAAACCACTTTTTAAAATCCACCTTTTTCAGATGGAAAAAAAGTCTTTTCCTCCTCCTTTCATTTTACACACCTCCTTCCCTCTGCTTTTTTGAAAGGGGGGGAGAGGGAGAGAGAGAGAGAAAGGAAAAGAGAAAGGGAAAAAAATGTTAAGATCAAAATAATTCCCCCCCAAATTGAAAATTTCTATTTTGATTTTTTTCAACCAGAAAATTTAATGAAAATTTTTAAATTAAATATAATTTCTCACTTTTCCCATTCCCTCCCTCCCAGAATATACTTACTTTGAAGTGTACTGGGGGAACAAAAAATACTACAACTACTTTTTTTTTAAGCTCTCAAGTATTTCCAAACATTTCCATTTTTTCTCAGAAGTACGAACAATTTAAATGATGATGTGCTGTGGCATAAATGTTTAATGGCATATCCTTGCAATGATCTGCATAACTCCTCCATGGCTTTGTCTCTCAAGCACAATGTAGCTACCCATATCCCATGCAATAAAGTTTTTATATCCATACCCTGCATCATGTATTCTCCCTCTCATACAGAGATATAGATAGATAAATATCTATCTATATACATATCTTCCTCATTTTAGCCTTTTTGTGCTGCTCAGGAGGTGTCATGCTCAGGGCCGGCTCCAGCGCGATCGGCAGCACTTCGGCAGCAGCTCAATCGCGCCACTTCATTCTTCGGCGGCAATTCAGCAGCGAGTCCTTCAATCCCTCTCTTCCTCTTCGGCGGCACTTCAGCGGCAGCTCAAAGAGGAAGAGAGGGACTGAGGGAACCACCGCTGAATTGCCACCGAAGACCCGGACGTGCTGCCCCTTTCCATTGGCCGCCCCAAGCACTTGCTTCCTTCTCTGGTGCCTGGAGCCGGCCCTGGTCATGCTAACACATTCTGCAATGTTGGAACAAGTGTAAGTGTTGTGCTAGAGTTTGGAGAGGGTGTAGGCACTTCTGCATTCCTGCTGTTCTCATTGGGCAGACCGTCCCCTTGGGATCATTGCAATCTTATTTAAGTTAGAGCCAACATGAGGATGATGGAGTCTGAAAAACCCTGCACTAGAGATGCTGCCATATCAGGTAGGGAATCATCTACCTGACAAACCTCTACTCTACTGCAACAAGCACAGACAATTCGTTATGTGTCATTAACACATTAGGTATAAATGCTGTATACACACACACACACACACACACACACACACACCGTATTGATAGAGTAGACAACTGTAGACAAGTAGTTATAATTAGTCATTTAGACTGGAATTTCAGCTTGCCATATCCTGGGTCCTATTGAGGTCCTCTCTGTGCCTTTCAGGAAGTGCTCAGTTTCTGGGAGGGTCAGGCTCAGTATTTGGCCTACACCTACTCTCACTCAAATCCTTGTCCAAAGTTCCATTGATAAGTAGGACAGGTTCTTCATTATTGTTGGTATAATTTGTATTACAGTAACAGGATTGACAATGCCAAATGTTTAAGAAGTTTGAGCCAGTCCCCGCCCCCGAAGATTTTTTTAAAGAAGAAGTTTGACATTCATTTTATTCACCTTCTGTTTTTTGAGTTTCTATGGTTCATGGTTTTTTAAGCTGTGCAACCATGAGAACTAGAAGCTTCCTTTTTCTTTTAAGATGAAAGCTGAGGTTCTCACATAATTGCCTGCTCCATTAACTGGGATTTTAAGAAGAAACGCTCCCCACATCAAATATCATGGAATTGGTGATCAAAAAATATCACAAGAGTTGCAGCACTGTGTAATGTCCACAATGTGCTAAGCACTTTCCAAACATTCAGATACTTTCCTTACTCTGAAGAGCTGATGGCAGAATTATTATATACGTCGGAAACTCATGCATTTCAGGCTCAATCCTCCAATTTTGCTTGAACACGGGAATGCAATGTTAGGCATTTTGCTAACCTATACATATATTTGTTACAGCCTCTTACCTGAAATGCTTAGTTGTTTGGAAGCACATACGACGTCTTATTTCTTTGTACTTCACAGACATACTTAGATGAACTACATGGTTTCAATTTCAAGGAGGCGTGAGCGTTCATTCCTGTTTAACAAGTTTAGTTTGTTGATGACTCTTTCCCATTTCTTCCTCCAGGGAATTTTCAAATGATAATAAGGAGAAATGGGATGTACTTTTGTCTGTTGTCTTTCACATTATTTGGGCAACTCTAATTTTAAAGGTACTGGTGAATTAACTTACACTGTTAAATATACTATAGACAAAAGACAATTCCTTCCTAACTGAAAGGATTTGAAATTGTTCTATACTGAAATAAGATTTGGAAATTTCACTAGTCTCCACCTTCAGTAAGATCACACACAACTTTTAGGATAACATACATCCCTGTTATTACACACACTGAAATGATACACAGGGAAGAGAGGTTGCTTGGCACAAGAAGAAGGCTGTGAGAATTTTGGGAGGCGATAACATGAGGTGCACAATTCCGGGGTAGCACGCAGCCTCTCTCTAAGGTGGCTTCCTGCTGCCCAGGGTGCAGGTGGGGCAGGGCTAATTGGGTAACCTCCCCTCTGCTGGGGTATTTCCCAAGGACTTGTTAAGCCAGAGCTTTGCAGCCTCAGTATTTGCTGAGTTGCTGTAAAGGGGTTGCAGTGGAGGAGAGAATAAACTGTGGGCTTATCACTAACATAGTCCCCTGCACTCAGGAATTACAAGAACAGTTCAAGGCTAGTGCTGACAATGGTGCTAGCTTCCTCAAAGGGGTACAAGGTGAGTCATAACCCAACCATGCAGCCCTGCACACTAGCCAGAATATTTGGTCTCACGCAGGGGAGCCCAGGCTGTTCTCCATAAAAAGGGAGTATCAGAGGCTGTTCCATCCATACTCCCCTCAGGGGGTTCCCAGAGTGACTATATGCCTCCACACTCCATGTTGCAGACCTGCACTTTGAAGGTCCAGACTATTTGGTTTAGGCACCTATCCAGAATTCACATAAAACCAAGAGCTTAATCAACTCCATGATTCTTACATGCACGAAAGTATCTTTGCAGAGAGCGAGTGTGTTAGTAAAAACTAAACAGCATTTCAGTTAGAAAAAGTCTTGCAGTATCCTTGAACACAATAGGATAAAATGCTTAAGGTTAATAATTAATTATAGATATCTTATATCTGATAGCAACTGAATGGAATAAGAATTTGATAAATGTGGGGAAACTCTGCCCTGTATTTGTTGCTGTCACTGAAATCAATGGGAGTTGAAAGAATTTATTGAAGGGCAAAATTTATTCTTTAGGAGCTAGGTAGTACATATAATAACTAATGGTCCCAAAGCCTTGAACTACCCTATGCACACCACAAACTGTTTTCTGGCATTTGTGTTGTATATATTACCAGTGGTTAAAGAAAAGAAAGATCACCAATTTTGGAGGCTGTTGTCACAGAACTTGACATTTTGTGGTGGTGTGTCATGGCCCGCCAGAGCCGTGGTCAGTGGTGAAGAGTCCATAGTCACGGGATGGGAGTCAAGAGTAGGCTGGGTCAGTTTACCAGGAGATCAGAACCAGGAGACAAACTTGAGAGCAGAACTACAAATCAGTAACCAGAGTCAGGCCAGATCAGGATACCAAAAGGTCAGAGGCAGGAGACAAACCAGAGATCGGGATCACAAGTCAGACACCAGGAGTCAAACTGGGCTGGGATGTCAGGAAACGAAGTCAAACAAAGAGAATCGTTCCTTTGATTTAGCTTTTCCTATTTGGTGTTAATTGTAAATGTGACAAAATCCCAGCTGCAAGTGAAGAGCTGATAAATGCTTTGTTTACACCCTAAAATGAAATACAGGCATATTCTTCAAATTTATCCCATTCAGTAATGCTTCCCCAAAAGCTGGGCCCCGCGGTAACTTCCACTCTTTGAAAGCAGGACATCTGCATAGATTAAGACTGTGGAAAGGACTCCAGGTGTAAGATGTTCACAGAGAAAGTGCACTGGAGAATTTCTACAATCTGTGGTGCCAGAAATCTAACTAAGCTCAGAGCTGAGGAATAAACATCTGTTCCACTTCACAACAGATTATACACGTTGCTGTTCTTTAGTGCCACCTACTGTCACTGGGTCAAAACTCTGATGCCAGGAACATGATCCAGACAACACTATCACAGGTACAGTGGGTAATTTGTCATTTGGGCCTTTGGCTACCAGGAATGCCATCATGTGTTTGCACTGGCCCTTCTCAGATGTGTCCCCTGTCTGAAGACCAACCTTTATGAAAGAGCTGAGACACTGCTTTGTAGGTGATGCGATACCACTTCTCTTGGATCAGTATCTCTAAGAGTATGTCTACATTGCAGTAAAAACACCTGTGGTTGGCCCATGTCATTTGCTTGTGGGACTTGGGCTGCGAGGTGATAAAACTGCAATGTAGACATATGGGCTGGAGCCTGGGATCTGGGACCCTCCGCCACCACAAGCTTCAGCCTGAGCCCAGACATTTACACTGCAATTTAATAGCCCCACAGCCAGAGTCCTGTGAGCCCATGTCAGCTGACATCGGCCAGCCATTGGTGTTCTATTACAGTGTAGACATACCCTAAGTATCACTGCATGTGGAGCAGTTACTATGTATTGGCAAACTCACATAGACGAAACAGGGGTTTTATTTGCTGGTGGACACACAAAGTTATATTACCAAGAAGTGGCCAATTGCCACCTTCATCACTCTGGTCATGTTGTATTCTTCCCCCTATTCTAGTGGCTGTTTAGATTGTGAGCTTCTTAGGGCAGAGATCATGCTTTCTTCACTCTTTGGTAAGGGCTCAGAAGAGAGTGGGCATTACTGGAAATAACTAATAACAAGAAAAATACAAGGACAAACAAATACAATATTATGGTGCGTCATTGACGGAGTGACTCATCACCCACTGAAGTCAATAAGAGCATTTTGCATGAAGGGGAAAAAGGGAGCTTTGACTTCCGAGAGCTGCTTTTCACTCTCAATCACTCTAGTGAAGAGCCACAACCTTCATTTTTCCATGACACTGACAAAGAAACAGAATTGGTACATTTCACTTTATGAGGAAAAATGTTCCAGATATTTCTTTCACACAGTGCCCTAAATACAGAGTAAGTCACCAAAGGCACCTATTATTTTTGAGCCGTATGGCTTTTCAAGGGCATACTCCGCATGCACAGGATTGCTGAATTAGTCATGACTGAATATGAAGAATAATGGATTTTAATGTCTTCTTTTGTTTTCACATCTATGTACCTTGATCTCTTAAAAAGGGATAGTAGCCCTTATATACAAAGTTGTTTTTCTGGTAAAAATGACTACAGCTTTAAAAGATCAGCTGGTTGAGAAAGTAAACACTGAAATGCAAAGCAGAAAATCACCACAAACATCCTTAAATATGCAGTTAACACAACAGTGGCATACAAGAGAAGCAAATTTAGCTTTAACTAAATGTAAGTAATCCACTATTTAAGATCATACGTTTCAGGAAGAGATCAAGCAACAAGGTTCAGATCAAGAGCCAAACATTCCCAAAGTTCAGGGATGTTTGGATCCAGAGCTCTGGTTCCGGTCTATCTCAAATTCCAATCTGCTTTAATTTTCATTTCTTACCTCATGCAGTTTTCTACTCTGTTTTCTTATGCTGTTCTTTCCAGATCACTCATTACAGTGTGTCTGCTCAATGGCTTCCTGTGAAATTCAGCTATGTCATTCTACAGTACTCAATGGGATTTGTTGACCTTCGGTAAATTCCTCTTATCGGGTACTGTACAAATACAAAACCATGATTTTGTGATACCAGCACACTGTAAAGAGAAGCTCCATAGCAACTGCTGCAGACTTTTTTCCACACAGGACTTAATGGGTCCTCTTCATCCTTGTCCTACAACCCCTTTGTGTTGGGCTTGCTGGTTAGGG